TTCCAATTATCACATCGCGTGGTACTTTTTCTCGCGAAACTATTCAAGTTTCGTCGCGCAGAGCTGAAGGTAGCGAAACGACTATTCGGAAAATATTTCATGCGAGGCGGGAAAAGAAAGGGAGTCCGTTGTCCAACGCTTCGAAAGAAGAAACGCGCTAGGAATCGATCCGAAATGATGAAATGATTCCTTCGCGTCATGAAATGCTACCAAAAGAAAAGCATGGGGATTTGGCCCTGGAATCTGCTCGATCGTGGCACATTTCGATCACCTTCGTGGGTTGAGCGCGTCCTTCCGTGTATACGCAAGACGAGAGACGATGGACGGGAGTGAAAAGAGTCTTAACAAACGTCTGAGGCTCGATCAACGCATTGACTGTGGCATCGTTCTGTTTACGACTTACTTTAGCGTTTCCGTTCCTGTGGGGCACAGCAGTGTTAGTTGCATTACCTAAAGCGAATGAAAGGCAAAAGAAGTAGATATTAAACGAATCAATGTTGCTTTTCAACCTTGCCTTTATTCATTACCTCAAAATTCAGAAGCTAGAAAAGCTAGAGTGGTCCTCTCGTGAAAGCTTTCATAAAGCTTAACAGACGTAATCAATGCGTTGACGATTCGCCGAAGCGTACGAACGACGGTTTTCTTCGATTATCGTCGGTTCTATCCCCTCCTTTGTCCCGGGGGATACGAACAGAAAAAGAAATCGCTCGAAAAAGAGAACGGAAAGAAGTGAAATATCGAGTCACTGACCTTGAAATCGTCTCTCCGTCTGTCCTCAGGGGGACAACGCGTACACCAGCGAGCAACGAGGTCCTCGAGTTCTCGGTGAAATGGGGCCCTTTGATAAGTTCCGGCACGACGGTCGCATCGTTTCCGAGATTTATAAGCAGTTTCCAAATCTCGCGACGTGTTTCAGCAAGAGTAGCTCGAAAACCATGAATCGTGCGGCGTGGCGACAGGTCTCGAGTTTTCCGACGAGAGGCTTCTCGACGACTGTGGACGCGACGACGAAAAACGGGTCGTGTGTCGAGCGAAAACGATTGAACGACGTTTTGCCAGGCTCCGAGAGCAACACCTCGAAATACACAGACGAGTTCCTCTTAGCAAAGAACAATTCAATGAGGAAGAAGATTAAAAAAAGGGGCCAATCGGAAAATACGAACGCTGACAAGCTGACAGCGTCATCCGAGCTCGCAGTGGGCGAGAGTCACCTCGAAGAGATCGTGGACGCTCAATCGGCGTCGATGGAAATGCCCGAGAAGAGGAGGATTCGAGACGGCAAGTCGAAGGCGTGGAAAACTGTCGAAGGAACGACGGCGAAAGTGGAAAAGCGTTCAACTAACCGAGGAAAACCGAGGAACTGGTCGATACCGGCCGTCTTGTCGGACAAAAAGCCAAAGTTATTGTACGGCTTGGTTCAACGAAGACAAACGCCTGCCTCGTGGTTCTTTTCGAAGCTATTCGACGCCAAGAACACAGACGCGATCGCGGACACTCGGAGCAACAGGTACAGAGGGTTGGTATCGGAGGCTGGAAAATTTGGTTCCGTTCAGGCTGAGAGATTGTTGGAGGAATCGAAGACTCGCGACGAGGGCAGACATAACGCTTCCACTTCGACGACTAGTTTAAGGTTTCCAGAGAAAGCGATGCGTTCGACGATGGAAGGCAATTCGAGATCTGCCAATGAAGTCGATCGGTGGACGCGACAAGATCCCGACGGTGTGGATAAGAAGACGCCGTCCAGGTCGAGCAGCGTCGGTTCCGAGACAGAAACCATAAGTGAAACGAGTACGTCGAGAAATCCTCTACGAAACGTATCGTCCAAAATCGTTCTGTTCTTAGAGAACCTTAGGACCAGCAGGCAAAAGTCGCGGTCTCTGTCGAGCTTGGCTTCCTACAATCTAGATTCTCTGTTCGCTCCTCGGGAAGCAGCACAGGTGGCCTTCTTTTCGTCCAACGGCGCCAATTTCAGTCTGAAAGACAAGTTCACGAAGAAGTTCTGTGGGAAGAAGAAAACCGACAATATCTGCAAGAAGAAGCAGCAGCCTTCTTGCAATTCGAAGAAGAGAGACTGCAAGAAGGACGACAAGGTGAGTTGTTCGAAGAAGAACGAACCAGCGGACTGCAAGAAACGAGACGACGACGGTAGCAAACAAAAGTGCCGATCGAGTTGCGGCGAGGGCGCGAACGATCCTTGTAAATCGCTCGAAAACAAGCATCACGGTTCTCGCTGCAAGGAGTACGAGGCAGACAAGGAGTACGGGAGCACGGAGGATCCGTGCAAGAAGTACAGGAGGGAGGATATTTACGGAAAGTCCTGCAAAAACGGTGACGATGCGTGCAAGAAGCACAGGAAGGAGGAAATTTACGGGAAACTCTGCAAGGAGTACAGATCGGAGGCTGGGTCCGAGGACCTTTACGATAAGTATTGGCGGGACGACATCTACGGGTCGCGGTGTAATAAACAGAAGCAGAAGAAGTCTGATCTGTGCGACAGCGAGAAGAAACAGAGCAACTGTAGCACTGAGAGGAAAGAGGGTAGCTGTAGCACAGAGAGGAAAGAGAGTGGCTGTACTACTGAGAAGAAAGCGACTAGTTGTACAACAGAGAAAAAATCAACTAGCTGTACAACTGAGAAGAAACCAATCACCTGTACAACTGAGAGGAAACCAACCAGCTGTACAACTGAGAAGAAACCAACCAGCTGTACAACTGAGAAGAAACCAACCAGCTGTACAACTGAGAAGAAACCAACCACCTGTACAACTGAAAAGAAACAGACTAGCTGTACAACTGAGAAGAAACCGAGTACCTGTAGCACAGTAAAGGAGGCGAGAAGCTGCGATAGAGACGTTGATCCTTGCGGTGACGGCAAGAAAAAGAAAAAGAAGAAAAAGACGGAGAAGAAGCCAAAAGACTGCTGCACCACGAAGAAAAAGGAATGTCCGTCTGTATTTCGAGCGCCAGGTTGTCCGAAAAACGATGGGAAGTCGGGCGGAAGTGGGAGCACTCCTTGCTGAGGACGCTTCGGTCTCGCATCGAGAATTCGTCCCTGAAACGGCTCTTGTCGAGAATCGTTCCAGCCAGAGCTTAATCGCGAACCAAGAAAAATTGCCAATTGGAAAATTGCCCTTTCCGAGTTGAGCTGGAAAAGTTCTGGGAATATAAACAGCTCCCTTTGTTCTCCCGCCAATGTATTTACTCGTTTCGATTAAGGAAATGATGATTATGAAAGTTTCGTGTAATGTGAATGAATCCTATTGCGTCAATAAACGTGTTCGTACCCTCGATGCGATTTTAAGTAATATTAGCACTTTACCAACCAGTAGCGATTGGACATATAATTAACTTCAGTTTTATTTTATCTATTAAATTTATATATAACAAATTTTGGTTATCCTGGTAAAAACTTTATTAATAGTTTACCGGTCGTTAAAGTGTCAATGGCCCACAGCTTTCCTGACTCATCGATTAATGCCTTCTAACTTACGTAATTTCGCAAGTGCAAAGCCCTGTAATATATTCTCTAATCGTAGTTTCATCGAGAAATTGAAAATGAAATGTTTGGTTTGTTTCTAAACACAGCTGGAGACTACATCGGGGCCCCTGAGCAAGCAGGAACAGAGAAACGTCATCGAAGTAAGTTTCATAGAGAGTATTCTGCTCACGTTTCAATAAACAAACGATTTTTCGAGGCACCGTATCGAATCGTTCGCGAATCTTGAATAACTGTACGTTTAACGAACAAAACTGGGCGAGACTGAAGTACTTGTCCACGGGACACATTCGACGATTTGAGATAGATCCTTAATAGAACTTAATTACGAAACTCGTCGCTATGGCTCCACCTCCCTTCTGCCTCTTCTTCGTCATGAAAATTTAACCGTTTAAGATTAACACGCGTAAAAGTTAAAAGCATAAATCGTTCGAAAATGCTGGATCATCCTCTCTCCCCGCAGAGAACGGATACCGCTACGCACGAAATTGAGGGCTCAGTCGCGCGCGCTAAGGACCAAAGGAACAGGGGCCCTTTGTCAATGACCGCGATCTCGGAGGGATCCATATCCGCATCGACGCTCGATCCGTCCAAATCTCGGAACGCCGACTTCATCTCGAAGAACGCAACCGATCCGTGGCGCGATTCTTTCGTGTTGCACGACAGGGAACGCAACGACGACTATTTCCCCCAGGGCGAGGAGTACGAGGACGAAATCGGCCAGAACTACGTCCCCCACGCGCCTAGCAGAAGACCGCCCCGCGAAGAGGAGTCGGACAGCTTCACTCCTGCCGCGATGTTTCCTAAAACTGAACAGCCCGCAACGAAATCTCCGACGTTGACGAATTTGTTGAACACGTTATCCTCCAAGAATGAATCCATGAAAGAGAAAGTGGCCTGGTTCAAGCGACAAATTTTTCAGCCCTTGTGGATCCCAACGGACGAGCACGATATTAGGAATATCGGAAAGCTCGTCGAGCATCGATTACAGCTTGGCCGTGTGCTGTGACGTTTCTTTGTAGATTTTACTCATAGGTCACGATGATTGTTTCGTCGCGGATTTCGCTTTGCGATGGTCGTTATCGTTGTAGAATACCGACACTGGTACCATTCGACGATTCTTTCTCGAGATCCATTTTCGAAAGATGGCGTCCAATTTTCCTTCGTATATTCGGGCTCTCGATAAGTTCGGCGTAGGAGGGAGGTGGGCCAGGCGAGAGGCAAGGCGTTGCTCAAACAAACAGGACAAAAACGACAAAGCACGAAATAAAGCAGCGCGATCTCATATCCAGGGTGTGAGAAAGGGGGAGTTCCGATTGGGCGAGCCCGACTGCGGAGAGGATCCGCCGTGCTGGCCGGAGAAGAGTCCTTGTCATCCGCCAAAGGGCCCCTGTAAGCCCTTGGGTCCACCGGGCTACCCCTCGAAACCTAAAGCCGAGAAGAAGCCGTTCTGCATAAAGTGTCCACCCAAGAAACCGTGCAAAACGAAAAAGTGTTGTTAGGTATGCCGGGTGAGAGACAGAGGGTATGTGGAAATAGCGGCGGATCAGAGGGTGAACAGTCAAACTGTATCGATCAAAATGTCTCTGTTCTCTGCATCGTAGGCCAAGTACGATCGAACCGGTTGGTACGATAGAACGGTGTCATTCCCGAATCTCCTTCCACCGAAGAGCCAGTACAGCTTGGGATCTTCGTACGCGAACAGTTCGTTTGGTTCATTGAGAGGAACGACGTCGAGAACGTTTAACATGGGTCTCGTTTGCGCGAGAAATTTCACCACCGCGTCGAGGGAACCCGTAAGAATCGTTTCCTTGTCGAAAGAGTTGACTAAATACCTGAGCCAGCAGCAGAGATTTTTTCGAAACACCGTGACCATGATGAATCGCGACTGCGGGGATAAACCCTCGAAACCCCCGCCATGTGATTCCGGTGCATCCAAGTTCGCACCGGATTCGCCGAAGAGCGGTCAGAACCAACAAAGAGGATCGTGCAGACAACCCTACGAACGACGAAAACCGTGCCCTTCGCTAGAGAAGTGCGTCCCACCCAGTCCGCCTTGCTGTCGTCCACGGCCCAAGAATCCTAAGTGCGCGCAGCTGGCCCAAACGTGTCCACCACCTTGCCCTTTACCGTGTCCCAAACCACCGGAGAAGCCTCCGCCACCGAAGATATGCTACCGAAAGTGTCCTCCGCCACCGAAGCTACCGAAACTTCCAAAATGTCGGAAGATCCCTGCGCCGCCACCTCCTCCACCGCCACCTCCGTTGCCAAAGCTTCCGAAGTGCCCTCCGCCATGCCCACCGCCTATTCCGCCACCTCTGCCTACGTGCCCTAGAACTCCGAAGTGTCCCGAATGCCCACCGCAAAAAGAATGCCCACCCCCGCCGCCTTGCGAGCCCTGTCCATGTCCGCTTCCATGTCCGCCACCTTGCTGCCCGCCACCACCGCCTTGTCCGCCGTGTCCACCACCGATTCCATGCCCTAGACCGTTACCGTGTCCGCCACCGCCCCCGCCAGCAGTCTGTCCGCCTTGTCCGCCGTGTCCAGAACATCCAAAGCCTCCACCGTGTCCACCGCCGCCTCCTTGCTGCCCTTGCCCGTGTCCCGAGCCGCCTCCGCCACCTCCGTGCCCAAAACCTTGCCCACCTTGCCCTCGATACGAGCAAGCAACCTGCCCCAAGGATGTTCCGTCTTGCCCTAAATGTAATAACAGCGGAAAAGGAACGAAGAAAAGAAGAATGTCCACGTATTGCGGATCTCCTCTTCGGCTCCTTCCGCTCGGAGACGTTCGTCGCAGAAAGCTACACATTAGCTGCGTATTCCTGGGAAAGCCACCTAAGTCCAACAACACTTCAAAGTGTAAATCCATGGATGATCTGTGCAAAACCAAGACGAAGGGTTCGTGCGTCAAGTCTTGCGAAAAGAAAAGCGATTGCGACACGAAGAGACCCGTATGCGAGGATCAGATGAAAAAAGACACGAAGAAAAAGAAGAAGACGAAGAAAAAGAAGGAAGTGTGTCCAGACATTTGTATTCCAAGGGGAAAATGCGAACTCCCTCATGTCGCTCCTCCGCCGAAGATGCAGTATGGCGTGGTGAAGTGTCCTGATCCGAAGTTCGCTACGCCTACACCCTGTCCAGACATGCTCGAATCGACACGCGAAGACGAGCCGTGTGAACAAGTCGATTCTTTTAAAAAACAGAAGAAGGAAGTTTGTGTCCCGCCGCCTCTGCCGAAACCACCGACCGAGCCGGTGGTACTCTGTCCCTGTCCACCGCCGCCAAAAATGCATCCTGGTCCTTGTCCTTGTCACGAGGTGAAGCAAGAACCACCGCAAAAGATCACGATGCCACCATGTCCCGGGAAGGAGAAGTATGTCTGTCCCAGACAACCGCATTACTGCCCGCAAGAGAAGCAGATCTGCCGGATGGATAAGGCTTGCGATCCTAGCAAGAGAAAAAACAAGAAGAAGAAGAAGTAACCCTCCTCGCGACGATGACATTTTCTCTTCTAAAGTCACGTCGTTTCCTCTGCGTACCAGGTTAAATTGCATTTACACGTCGGAGATTTGCTTGGGAATAGCTGCTCGAAGAGGTCTTGAAGCTTGATTTGCTCGCGAGAACATGCTGCGTGTAAGTATAACAGGTAACTCTTTGACTGCGGGACGATTTTTGCGGGAAATTTTAAGAGGCGTAGAGGTGTGAATTAAAAAAAATATCAACTTATAGGGAATGATAAGACGGAACTTTTTTATATTTACAGATTATTCATACGACCTTTAGTCTCAGAGATAAAAATTGAAAACTTAGAAGACCTTTTTCCTAAAGTTCAAGTTTTGCAACAATCTTCAAACTTTTCAATTTTTATTGTCAAAATTAAGCATCCTATGAATAAACTGTAAATATAGAAAAGTTTCATCTCATCATCACCTGTAAGGTGATATTTTTTAAAACTCGATTTAACGAATGCAAACATTTCTCCGAGCTCATTTCTCGAGAGCGTTATATATATAATCGACTCGTGTGCAGGTCAGTTATTTTCGTAGTAAACGCTTTCGTTAATTTCTCAGGGAAGGAAAAGCAAGGACCACGGAGCAGAGAATGCATCCCAGTTTTCGACGAAGTCTATAACATAATGATATTCGGTCTCAGGATCGATGGTCGTCAACTATATCTGGCCGATTCGATCGCCTGCTCCCGGTTTTACGATCTGTCGAGCAACCATCAAAATTTGTAACGCTTTACTCTCGTCCACGACTGCTCCAATGGTCAGAAGAAGAAGAGACGTATGGCGATCGAACCAGTCGCTCGTGTGTGTCCTCTGTCGCATGTCCAACGTTGCGCTTTCGTCTCAAATTCGTTTTACGTGGTCCAGTTATAGTGAGGAAGACGGAGAAGTCGCCAAAACTATGCAACTAGAAGTTTCAGATACGATCGAACGTTCTACTCGCTTTTCTGTGCGTCTGGATACGACGAAGGAACCTGGTCGGACACGCGACACTCGCGATGCACACGCGATTAATTTTTTTTAGAGAGAGAGTCCAAGTCAAAATTCGTATAGACTTCGCGAGGATCCAAAACAGGCGATGCCTTTCTCGACATGGATGGCAGTGTAACAGACCAAACGAAGATTAATGGCCATGGCCTCGGGAAAATGCCATAACACAATTTCTGTTTAAAAATTTATCGTATCTCATTCAAAAAGTGAAAGTTCCATCGACGAAACTAATGTGCCAAGTAACTCGTGAATAAATCTTACTGTACTAAAACAGTGTTTCACTTTTGGCTAATAGGACTATCGTTTACTTGAATCGGCGACTTGAATCTCGAATCTCGCAATTATCGTTGACTTTACGTCATCGTTCCCGTTTCAAGTAAGTTTGTACCGACTCCACGAAGATTTCGAGCCATCGCTAGAGACCGCGGTATTCGGATGGAATTCCAGAAGCGGAAGAGAATGGCGGCCAGTGGTCGTAAACAGGAAATCGATCTCCATCGTCGGAGAATCGGTTCCATCGTTTCGTTCGATCTTGGGTGTGTCGTACGAACGCGGACTAGTAATTGCATCGCTTGGCGTGTGATTCGCGCGAGGACTTAGCTTCTACAGGAATAAAACGAGAAGGAAAGAAATATTTGCGACAGATTGATGGAATTCGTTTATTTTTCAAAAATCAGGAAGAGCTCTCCTTCTGTCTTGTACATTGCATCGCGTACAGTGAATTGCGATCTTTTTTATTATATTATTTTTATACGTTTAATTTCAATGAAGGAGTTGAATCGAGGTAGGTTAAGTCGATTAGCATCACACGAAGAAAAAGAGAATTAAATGAAAATCTTTGGATACCTGTTTGGAGTTCATGCCAGCCGGTAGCCATAAATTGGAAAATTGATTCAAAGAATTTGCGACTGTCCGATTGGCTGGGCTCTTCTTTGAGTAATAGAGCGCGCGGAAGGAGAAATTGCTATCAAAAGCGCTTCGTTACAATAATATCGACATTTATATACGAGCTGGCTCCGGCCAGAGGAAGCAGCACGGAGGTGGGGGAAAACGGGAGCGCAGGACTAAGGACGAGGGTTCTTATCATTTTATTATTGGGGTGAGCAGCCCTCCGTTCCAAGAACGACGCTTTACTTTTACCTTCCATTGTCTGTCCCCTCTCGTAAAGGCTTAAGGGCCGTTTCCAAACGCTCGATTCGATTATCCTCGACGGATTTCTCTTTTTCTTCCATTCGCGACGCTTCGTTACTTTCCTTGCTTGCTTCGTGGAAACATCTAATCGACGACGTGTCTCTATTCCTTTCCTATTTCAGTACTCATCGAGGCCGGTGCCTTTGTCTTGCTCGAATAATCAATCGAATAATAACCTTTGAAAAGTAGTTAGTCCTAGTTGAATTTGGAATTATCTTTGCATTATCTTTGCGATTCTGACAGTATCTTGAGGTGGTCCTCGGTTCTCGGTATACCTTTACGCTTTTAATTATAAAAATAGATCTTGGATTACGATTTTATTTGATAAGTAAGGAGATACGCAATGTATCGTAACATTCGAAAGGGTAACGGATCCGTACTCCGGGATGTCATTGTGGCGGGTGGTTTTGTCGTAGTCTGTACTGCGGGAGATATCGCGAACATTATCACAGCCGTTCACCGTGATTGGTCGGATTCGAGGGTATCCTCTCTTTTTCCTCCCTTTCGTTCGACCAATAAGTGACGTTTCCATCGGAGAAAGGGTCCGAAGGAAGGGAGCGCGAGCGACGACGAAGGGGGAGAGCGTCAGTCGAGGACTACGAAGCAGAGGATGAGGACGGAACCAGCGAGAGGAGGGTGGTCGCGGGGGTGGAAGCTGCAAGAGGGCAGAAAACTCCCCGCGTGGAAGAGAGTCGAACGGGTCGAGGCTGCGGATGGAAACGAGCGGGATGGATAAACTTCGAAGCGACTGTCCCCGAGGCTGATGCATAATTCAGGAATCGTCACCGGCGAGGATATTGCCAATTTGGCGTCGATGAAAATACGATCGGATTTGTCGGCTACCCCAGAATGGCTCGTCCGACGTACATCCAGTGAATTTAACACCTTCGGCCGACGTGCCGCCACCGTACCGTGCGAAATTACATCGGAGCCAATCGCCGGATCGCGCTGCGATCGCCTCTCTAATATCCTCCTTGCTTTCAGCCCGATCTCCGGTTAATGGCTTCCCGTCGGGGCGCTTATCTAACCCCGTGCTGTTCTTACCCCTACGAGTTTCGCAGTAGGGACTTGCGACGATACTGAACATAAAGACGTTAGAGGAAGTGATCCAAAAACCAGCTACCACTTTCATTTTTGTATCTACTGGTGTATCTACTCACTCAAAATTGATACTTTTGGGTTTTATTTACTTTTAAAAACTATTCCGAGGGCGATACAAGGGTTCAAAAGGCTAATAACTGCTAACTACTCTTCTTCGACTTCTAGCTGGTTTTCTTTTTTTTTTTTGGTGCCATTTTCGCGACTGCGCTCAACCCTCTGCCATATTTACAAATGTAACATACATACATACATATAAAAGGAAAGAATATATATTTTTATACGTAATTACATCTTATATATATATATACATATATAACATATTATATACGCCACACCATGTTTCTAGATTAGTTATATCTATCAAACTTTGTTACCTTCTCATATGTTATAACAATATAATTTAAAAAAAAAGAAAGAGGGTATAAAAGTAATTAGAGGAACCGGAAAGTAATGTCGTTTCAGCTAATGTCAATAATTGTTTATCATTTATCAAATCATTGTATTCCAATTGGTTTTTGATCGATCAGGTATTGAAAATTTGAACATTAGATGCCAAAAGGTTATCGATAACGAGGACGATTACCTAACTGATCAAAAATGCAAACTTCTTAGAAATTTATTTGTTTGAATTTAATGTATTGTAAAAGGAACGACGTTACTCTCTGGTCTTTTTGCTACAACGAATTTCGTTCAAAAACTTTATTTACTACCATCTTGTAATTTTATAAGGGAAGATACTAAAAAAATCCCATGAAAATTATTCTGATTTAATGCGAAAACTTTCGAAAAGGTTCGATTGAAAAAACGACCTTTCGCCCCGGCATCAATCTAACAGTTTGATCGGCTTTAGAATTATTAGTTGAACGAACTCCGCGGAATCCTTTCATCGATTTCAGATGAGCCCCTTTATGCGTATTATATATCCATTAGCGATGTAAGGCCGAGCGTAATTTTTTTCACCGACCGGGATTTCCATTTTCGAGAAAAGCTTCCTTCCATCCCGATGCTGATCGATGGAAGATTATCGGTTCTTCGTGCTTCTCTCGTGAAAATGTTTCGAGGGTGTGTCGCGAGCCGCACAGACTGGGGGGGAGGGGGGGGGGAAGAGGATTGTCGAATGTTCGTCGATTTTCCATGGATACGGGGATCCCTGGCCGGCATGCAATATTTATGACGAAAACGTCGGGATACAGGCACGTTGAAAGGAATACATTCGGAACGGATTCAATTTGTCAACGTGCCGCTAATCATCTTATTATGCGATCCTCTTAGATCTACGCCCAGTCCGTAAAGCGAAGAGTCGTTAAAAGTATTGATTTCTCGAAAACATTTATAATTCTGGTGGTGTGTGTAAAGCTAAACTAGGGGGTGTAGAGATAAGCACAAATTCATATAGAGCTTAAAACTGAAAAAACGCCCGCTTGTGAACATACAAAAGTTACCTTAAGAAGAACATCAAGAGTTTAAAGCTACTGAAGCAGCAAAGAAATGGTATATAACACTTGCATATAAAGTATTTTTAATGACTTCAAAAAATTGCACAAACTGAAACAACGTAAAAAACGCACGAAGAACACTTCGGTGTTTGGGGTGAGCAGATACCCAGGGTTATCTTTAAATCTATCAATGCCTCGAAAAATCATTAATAATTTACAAATTAGTTATACTGTGTCTATAAGATGCCACGACCACCCTACACCCTGTGTCCTCGGTTCTAAGGATCGCGATCGATGTCTTACCACGGACTTCTTCACTCGAGAGAGACACAATCGATCGAAAAGGACGGCGAGCTGGAAAAAGCGCGATCGCAAATTTATTCCTCGACCAGAGTGAGTGCTCTGTAAGTTAGCCAGCGGGTACGAGAAGGCGGGAAGAGTTCAAGATTTATGGCGCCGGATGCGCAAATACGGTGGAACTTCCTTGTATCCGGTTTGGCGAAAACTTTTCTCGGTATACGCCTGCCGTACTTTCCCCTTTTTTTCCCTACCCTTCCATGCA